AGCCAACGATAAAGAAGGGTTTCTCGATATCATAGATTTTGATGGGTCCGGAACTGATACGTCCCCGGTTGGTGAGAGGGGAATTGCATGTTGGGCATGAGATTCCGTTAAACACGAGAGGTTGGGGATCCCAGTAGAAGAAGCGGTGTTCTGATGGGGTACGGGCCGTTGATGTGGATGCTGTCAAGGAGAAATAGACCGGGGAGCATGGAAGCCAGAAAGTCTTGAGAAGGGAGTAGAGGGAAGGTATTGATTGTGTCTGGGAAGAATTGGGAGCGAGGGATACAAGATGGGACTTGAAGGCGTCCTCCACAGACAAACCTGCTGATGATACCGGATTGGGAGCGGCCAGAGCAGCTAGCAGTGCGCTCAGGAAGGCAGTTGGATTAGCTCTTGCGAGTTCTGACCAATCATCGCCTGCGCTCTTGTCCATGAGACTGGGGTCTATAGGGAAGTTGGCTGGGGATAATGTTGTTGAAGCAGCAGGAGCCGTAGCACTGATGTAGTTGTAGTTGACTGGAGAATAACTGGGAATTGCGCCATACACCTTTGTTGCAATGCTCAATCTTCTTGGCTGCGTTGATCATGATAACGACTCACCATAGGCATAGCTGGTGCTGGTGACACCACAGTCTTTTCCCGCTTCATCCTTGTTGGCCCAACAGATCCAGCTGGAAATCCGTCTTTCCTTGGCCTGCCCACAGGTCGTTTAACCTTTGGAGGAATAGGTGAACCTGCTAGTAGATTCTTCTTTGTGCTCCCCTTTGGCCTCCCAGGTCTTCGCTTGATTGGTGTCCCATCTTGGTTGACACCGGGTGTCTGTGACTGCTGTGGACTCTGAACCTGCTGCTGGGCGGCTTGTGATGGGTCAACCGCATTGAGTGATGCTGTCCCATTGGGATTTGCTGAAAAGACGTGTGCATGAGTGTGACCACCACGACTTAGCATGGGGTGTAAGTGTCCGTGCATTATGTGTGATGGGCCGGAAGGGCCTGCGCCGTTTTGGACCGACTGGCCTGAGCCAGCGCCCTGTGGACCTTGAGCAGAAGAAGGACCGGCATGTTGCTGCTGTTGTTGCTGTTGCTGAATGGAACTATCCATCCCACCCGAATTGACGTTATTACCAGTGGTATCCGGCGGGCGAGAAAAAAAATAGATTCGAATATTGTTGCTTGAAATTATCTATCTTTTTTATTCTGTCGATTTTTATTCTGGATGTTGGTTTTTTTATGTTATTTTTCGGGGTTTGTTTTTTCGGGAGTGGAGCCTGTTATCAGTGTAAAGAGATGTCCTGTGGAAACTAGGAGTAAGCAAACCCGTAAGCTATGAAAATTAAAAAATTAAAATAAATACAAATTTCATGAACTTGACCCCAATATGATATGTTATGAAGACTAAACCCCGAGGTTTATAATACTCGCTGGTCGTCGTCGTCGTCGTTGTCGATGGTGAACGTGTTTCTGGAGTAGGATTAGTGGCAAACTGCAGGAGGCCCTTATCAATGGCTAAGTTGAAACAAAATGCATATGCCACAAGCTCCGCCAAACTCCGACTGCCCTGGGAATTGCGAAGCCTTCTTGTGCTTTGACCATTGCCGCATTCCTGTCATGAGGACAACAGCCAGTCAATTCAGAACTATCATAATAATCTATTAAAAGTAAGAAAATTCAAAAGAAATCGTTGAAAGTGTCCAGTTATCCATTAAAATACTTTCATTCGAGATAACTCTTTAAATAAATTCAATTTTTATTCTATTATATTCAAATTGATTTATCGGCTTAACATTTCTATTTCAATTGTCAATCGAGCTATGAACACCCTCTGTCGTTTAACTATTAGAACTTTTATATTCGGCTAGTAGGCAGGTAGCAAGGCTGAATCGTATATAGCACGTTTGATCATTAAAAGCCTATTTCTCGCAAACTAGTATCGCTCTCCAAAAATTCCCTCCTCTTGCGCTTTAATTTCTAGTTAACACGGGTTTAGCATAATCCACAGCGTTATAGACTCGGAACAACGTACGAAGGGCAAGGTATTTAGTATAGAATCGACAATGAGCAAAGTTGCCTAAGAACAAAGTCAGCCTCAAACATGGGGATCAAACTCATGCTTACCCATAACCGACCAAAGGCCTTGCAGACCGAGATCACGGAAACACCCATTTTGCTCGCCTTCTTCATCTAGTCCCCAGATAGTCTTGAGGTTCTTGCTAGATTCCTGTCCTATAAGCTGCAAGATACTCGATCGTGGGTCACTTAACCTAATGAAATCCGTCAGGCAACAAGCTGATGAATCAAGCAAAACAACAATACCCAGTGCAAAAGACTACGACGTCTGCAGCCAGCTCGCTGCCATCTTCAAAGCGCAGACCACCTTCAGTAAACTCTTTAATAATAGAGTCATTCTTGAGCTTGATCTTCCCGTCGATGATGTACTGGCTTCCTCCGACGTCTATGAAATATGAACATTTAAGCTACCGCATCAACAGGAAAGCAGGAGTTTAAATAATTACCCATATAATATCCTCCCGCTCGAGTCCACACGAGTAACATCAAGCCGCTTACGCCCTTGAAGCCCCCGTTCACTTTGAAACCCACCTTTTTCAAACCGTCGAGAGTGTCTCTATTCAGGCACGTGTGGTCAGCGATGGCGAAGCTGTGTGAAGCGGACGAGCATACTTATCCATATCGGCAATTATATTGGCGCCTCGATATCCTGTTGCTGTTGCAAAAAGGAATGGGAACGACGCAGCTATCTTGTCTGCTAAATCTGTCGGGGGGCCGCCTTCGGCATAGAGACCTGAACACAATCTCAATCCCAGGCAGATAGAGGTTTTATAACAGAAGTCTCGTACCTCCCATCAGCGCAGGGATGCCATTCTTCGTCGACATAACATAGGTCGAATTTCTTTGAACCATTGTAACATCTGCGAAACAAAACCTGGATGAGGATTTTCTTCAGTGCGACTTTCGCAGCGACATACCAATGTTATGGTCGGCGTAATCGACGCAAATATCGTGTGCTAGCGCGAAAAGAGGAGGTCAATATCTCGAATAAATGTATGACTCTTCGGCGAAGCACCCACAAGATGTACAACTGCCAACAACGACGACCTTCTTCCCGGCATGATCTAAGGCCGCATTGTGTTGTGTAGAGTGCAGGATCTGTCCTTTGAAGCTCTCCTATCGATACAGCAACATTAGCAGATGCACTTTTCAGCCAATGTCTTCAAACGCACCGCTCCAGGGAAAGATGGGATATAGGCTTGTCCACCTTTAAAACCTGTCGCCAACACGACGTGTCGAACATTGAACGTGCGGGTCGTCCCATCCGACTTGGTAACATGGACAGACCATGTCTTTGTGACTGGGTCTTGGGTAGCTTTCTCGACTTTCGAAGACGTCCATACGTTGAGCTCGAGCGATTCTGCGTAATGCTCGAGCCAATTTGCCAACTGAGAGGAGTAAATTTAATATCTTATACTCGGCTCCCTAGCAGGTTATCTTACCTTCTTCGCAGGAGTGTAGACGGGCCATGTTGGAGGGAAACTATGGCATTTAATCTCAGTTTAAATGAGTCTTATCCCGTCTAGGAGATAGCAAAACTCACGGAATGTAAGGCATGTGATCATACCCTATACATATCGATGGGTGAGCGGTCTTCGAAATGTCAAAGATTTCATTTTACTCACAAACAGGGTCATGCAAACACAGCGCCTCGTATCGCGACCGCCAGTTATCGCCCACCTTTGCGTTCTTTTCAATGATCAGGGTGGATATACCTAGGGCTTTCAATCGCGCCGCTGTTTCCAACCCACTGTGCCCTCCACCTACGACCAATACAGCGGGATCTTTATCTGCGAACGCGACTTCGTCCTTTCGAGCCTGCTCCCACTTCCCGTGGTTCGGAGCGAAGCTTCGAAGGGGCCCAGTGAGCTCGGGGTACCCCTTCAGTTCTTCCATGGCTGTGAAAATGGAGTGTGCTTTCCACTCTAATCCGTCTCCTGAATTGGGGCTAGAGAAAGGTACCAGTCTTACGATTCCATAACAGCTCGCGATGGGCGTCTGGAAGGTGAAGAAGAACTGGATCCAGGCTAGGTCTGGGAATAAGCGGGATAAGCTTGGAGGTGCAACGGATGCGTCTTCTTGTAGTTTGATATCGGAGATGTTGGCTGCTCCGAGTCGATCGACGAGGAATTGACGGATTTTTGGGGTGCTTTCGAAAGTGCGCATGTTCCATGTAAGAGAGAGGATGTCGCGCCAGTAGACAGCTAACGCGTCGTCTGGCGCGTGGGTGGGTGCGATGTCGGACCCGTCGCTGTTTTGGCTGAATACATTGGATTGGTAGGTTGAGTTGATTATGAGGGAGATGACACCCTCGACGTCGGATTTTTCGACGTGATTTTTGAATTTGTCGAGCCATGACACTGCGATGCTGTGTGCATCGAGATCAGCTGGGATCACTGGGTTTCCTAGCTTGCTTATTGTTGGCAAAGGAGCCTCTGCGGGGTGTAGTTTGGATGATGGGCTCGACATATTATGATTTGGGCTTATTGTCAGTGAATATGGTGAAAGGGTGGATAGATAAGTGATCTTGGAGCTGCTTACTAGTCCCGACTTTAGATTGATTCATTGGTGGGAAATGCCAACTTTGAAGGTTCTTGTGACCGAGGAGGAGCAGGTCAGGTGTGTCCTTCACCGATAAGTCTATTTCAAAAGAAATCAATATCCAATACAGTATATTATGAACTGTCAAGCTTCAAGATTTTATTTCGGGAATCGATCATACCAATCTGTTCAGTCATGAGCGGATTTTCCCAAGCAGATATCGAGCTCATCAGCAATTTATCAGATCAACGGGGGTTAAGTATCTATTGAACATAATGATATAGCCTGTCACAGTAGAAACGTTGAGTGGGAGGGGCAATGAGTGCTTTCGAGGCGCATCGAAGTATCCAAGCCCCACGCGGCTCTAATTGCGATACTCTCACGCTTAGACATGCCCGCCTAGCTCAATCGGATAGAGCGTCAGACTCTTATCATGTCTAGGCATTGAGTGGCATCTGAAGGCTGCGAGTTCGACCCTCGCGGTGGGCTAATTGTTTCTTTTTGTTTTCCCCTTTCGTTCCGCCCCTTTGAAACAAAGGGTGGATCCCACTGCTTTTTTCGTCCCTTTGTCCTATGCTCATCTCCAGATCTGCCGCACCATAACCCCAATTCGGTGGTGATCCGCTAAGCGCCCAAAAACCTGAATTATACGGAGATGTTTGTGCATGGCTTTCATATAAACAAAGGGAGTAGATAAAGCACACCCGTATTTAGAGTTGGCAGTTGTTGACTGGGCCGTTGCAGCAAAAGATGTGCTTATTCTGCAGTTCGAACAATGCTGGCCCCAAAGCTCGCCATTGGACTTTGGTATAAAAGGCGCACTACAAACATTTCTGTTCCCTCTCATACCTTTGATTCTTTTTTTCTATTACACCCTGCTTAACAGAATTATTTCCGACGCTATGACATATTCGACTGCCTGCCTGTGCGACACTGATGACTGGACATTCATTGACGCCACTCCTACAACAATGCGGTGCCCATCACTCACCGGCTCAGAGGAATTCCTTCATGATAGCGCCGAACTTATTACAACCACGCGCGACAGTGCAATTGACCCTGATTATGAGTACGGCTTGGTCAACGCGTTAACCGACTTGATCATGCGCGAAGACTACGACGCAATTGAGGATTGCAAACTCAGATTCCGGATGATGGACCAGTATATTCTTGCGCAATTGCAAGCTCAACAAGAAGAACATGATGAAGAATGCGTCGCTCAGAATGTCGCGCGTGAGTTTCTCTTGCTAAAATGACTTGTGATCTCCTTATTCATATTCACCTTCCTTACAGAACCATCTGAGCAGCGACGCTCGAACAAAATAACAGATGGAAGCCAGTCCAATCAGTGTACTTGTGATCGTCAAATAGTCCACGAGGAGCTTACTAGTTGGCAAGTGCTGCGAGTTGAAATAGCTGGATCATGATTGATATAATACCTTGTATAAAGCTTCTTGATATATCCCACAGAATGCCAATCCATCCATCCACAAACCATTGTACGAGTCATGAACGAGTCATATTTTTATGCTTCGAGGTTTGCTCAAACTCAGGGGCTTGTCCATCGATGTGTTGTGTGTCCAAAAATAGCCTAGACCGGAACCGCCGCTGCACCGAGCCAAGCCAGGTTCACCGCTGATTTAGTGACCCTGACAGTGACACTTTTCATTTTGTTGCCCTTTTATTTCGCCTCATCGCACCACTCCGTTCCTTCTTACCACCAACTCCTCATTTTAAAATTTTATTTGGACGTCGTGAAATTTCACAGATACCCCTCCCAAAATGCCATTGTCAAGAGAAATCATCAACATCCAGGTATGTCTTACATCATAGGTTCGTCAGGATCCTTAACAGTGCTAACGACATGATGGCTGCGATTTTTCACTTGACGGTGTTATTTCACTCGATGGCTACTCAATGGTGACCTGCTATTAGGCTGGACAAGCTGGAAATCAGGTGTGTAGGAGTTGGAATGCACAATTCGATGATAATCTGAATACTAATATGCCTCGTGGCATTGCAGGTCGGCGAGACTTTTTGGCAAATGCTGCTAGCAGAGCATGGGATTGACTCAAGTGGGGTGCGTGGAAGACCATTTTCTCAACACTGTTGACGTGACCCTGAATTGTATTATGCGGGATAACAGCAATACAACGGTTCTAACCCCCTGCTACTTCAACGAGTACGTCCAGCGAATGTGCAGAGAATGGGGTTTGTGCAGCTCATAGTACTTTGACTTGACAGGCGGGTGTCTATTTTGACGAAATCACTGGCGGGTCAAGGGATGGAACTCTGCGTTATGTCCCTCGCAGCGTCCAAGTAGATTTGGAGGCTGGTGTCTGCAACAAGGTGATTTTTTATCAAATAACGCGACTTGTCAGGGTACGAGTGCTGAAAACACCATTACATAGCTTCGTGGGGGTGTTTTAGGCACGCTCTTCCGCCCTGACACATATGTGACTGCAGAATCAGGAGCCGGAAATAATTGGGCTAAAGGATGTAAGTAATTAGTCTTCCAAGGTGACTACAGGGCTAACAGTATGCATTGGTTAAGACTATACCGAAGGTTCAGAAGTCCCCTCGCTTATAACTGATCACCTTTTTACGTATTTACAGGAGCTGAACTCGTGGACTCCATCCTCGTATGTTATTATCATTTTGATATTTGCATACAATCTGATAATGTCTCTAGGATATCGTTCGCAGACAATCTGAAAGTTGTGACGCTCTCCAAGGTTTCCAAATTCTCCATTCACTTGGAGGAGGAACTGGTGCTGGTCTCGGAAGTTTGATGCTCAGTAAACTGCGAGAAGTCTGTCTATTTGCTGTATATATGAAATACCCTCATCTGACGTCTGCCTGCAGGAATTCCCGGATCGTATGATGGCTACTTTCTCTGTTTTACCTTCGCCGAATGTAAGCTAGACTCTGGAGGTGTCATTTAACTCGTTTAACAAAGTTACTCTCATAGGTCTCAGAAACTATTGTCGAGGTCAGCATAGCCCATACATGCTCGTTTGATCGCCTCATAGACGTCTTTCTAGCCCTACAACACCATGCTTTCTGTTCATCAATTGGTGGATAATAGTGATCTTACTGTTTGCATCGATAACGAGGCCCTGTAAGCTAGATTCTTCTCATTGACCGAGCCTTAACTTACAAATCGATGCAGTTACAATATCTGCACGAATACTCTGAAAACCAAGAACCCCAATTTTAGTGACCTGAATTCGGTATGTCTCGTCCTCATTCCGTTGAAAACACGTACTAAAATCGCGTTCATAGCTCATTGCTAGGGTGATGTGTGGAGTCAGCACCAGCTTGAGGTTCCCCGGCCAGCTCAATGGGTAAGACCCTGATTTCTAGAATCTTACCGACCATTCACAATGCCTGATCAGTGACCTACGCAAACTGGGAATGAACCTTATCCCATTCCCCCGTGTGAGTCGACTGCAATCATTTTTTTCTCTCTCTTTTCGTTCTGCTTACAAATGTTTTCAGTTGCATTTCCTTATGCCGAGCTATGCTCCATTCTATGATCCCAACGCGAGGCAATTCGAGAAGAACTCCATCCCTGAACTTACCAAGGCGTATGTTGTTTGCGTAATTCGTCTTGGGCTGTACTGACGTACTTGAACAGTCTCTTCGACCGCAAGAATCTCCTAGTCGCCTGTGATCCCCGTCATGGGTTGGTATAAAAGGTTTCATTCCTTGTTATAACACTTACAATTTTCCTCATAGTCGCTACCTGACCGCTGCTACCATTTTCCGAGGCAACATTTCCTCCAGAGAAGTAAGTGCAGCGGTACCCTGTATACAAAGAACGTGATGACATTCGTTTTTTCAACAGGCTGAAGTATGTCCGTTTGCTTTTCGCTGCGGCCATGCAGTGTATGATTCATTTGGGTGATGACGCTCAACGAACCCTCCTCTTCTAAATTCTTTTGGGTTCCTACTATTGTCTGCTCGCCTCGATCTATTCTACAACCCTACTTCAAACGTTGCTCGTGTTTGCCGCCATAGGTTGCTGTGCGTGACATGCAAACCAGGAACTCGCAACATTTCGTGGAGTGAGTGATAAGAATAATGGTGTGGGTTGTGTTATCTAACACAATCTCCAGATGGATCCCAGACAACGTTTCCGTCTCACTCATTAGCGTGCCTCCAGTTGGACAGACTCAGGTATAGCGGTTTCCCTTTTATATCGTGAACTTTTATCAACACATACCTCTTTTCCACTTTCCCCTTGGGGACCTTCAGGCCGCAACTGCTCTGCTCAATTCGACCTCTGTCCAAGAACTCTTCAAGAGGAACATGGATTCTGTGCGTCTCACGACATGCTATTGTGGTCAACCTCTTATGACTCGTTTTAGTTCTCTGCCATGTTCAAGCGACGTGCTTTCTTGCACTGGTGAGTACATACAACTCTAATTATTCTTTCATCGTACTCAGCTTTGTACAGGTACACTGGGGAAGGCATGGATATTATGGAGTTCTCTGAAGCCGAGAGCAACACTCAGGACTTGATGTATGTTTTTCTGTTTTTCCGTGCTATTCAGTTTATCTTACATTTCCCTCGTAGTGCGGAATATCAACAGGCAAGCTCAAGGCTACTTTATCGCAGCATATGCAATTACTAACACCCCTATAGTACCAGGAAGCCACTATTGAGACAGAGGATGAGGTGTATGAAGAAGAACCCTCCGAGGCTTTTGAGGAGTAATACCGAGGAAAATCCGCAGGGTTATCTCTCCATTAGAATGGGAATGAATGTCCCACCTCAGATGCTTTAAACGTTTCCTTCTCCTCCCCGTTTTCTAGATTAACACTTAGCTTTAATAACTACTTGCTTCCTTCTAACAACTGTTCTGGATAAAACCCTCTATATTTCTCAAACTGCCTAATTGTTTGCTTGAATTAATGGTTGTACTTCTTCAACCTTTCATGGATTTTCTACTTCTCGCTTTTGGTTTCGTTATACCCCGACTGAATCGCTTGTGAGATTTTACTCTCTAACGGATCAACTTTGACGCTGATTGACTATCAATAATTATAGCTACTGCGACCTTGTTTCTTTTCTTGAAGCCATTTTTACTCCACTCATCCTACGCCTGAATTCCTCAAGAGCCAACCAAATTGATGACAATCATGCTCTCATGACCCGTTTAGAGTCTATGAATAGCCATTCGATTACCCAGATATTCAGTCTTTGTGACACGGGTTTTACAACGTGTCCTAGATGTGAATTGATAAGATGTATACGGTGTACTGGAGAGGGTATTTAAGAGGGCTGTTCCTCTCATTCTGTCTTTACCCATTCCTACCTTGGATCTGTTTATACTTGCCTATCTGTGCTTTGTCCGCTGATGAATTTGACACCAGGAGAAAAGGTCCCACCGTTGCCTGCACGGTTTGCAGACCTCAAGGCTACCATTGCCGCATCATACCCCGACTTTGAGAAGAATGCGACTCAAGCATGGGCCGAAATG